AATCACACCCATACGAGTAGCATTAAAAGTTGGAATGACAGCAGAAAGTTTATATTGCGAAAGAAACTGAGAGTCAATAAAATTATTAGCATCAATAGCTGTTTTAAAAGCAATTGAAATTCTATTACGCCCTAAGATTTTGATGCCCTGTTTTTTAATATTGGCAACTTTTTTGTGAGAGGATATGGCCAATTTTCACAGGTCTAATTGTATAACCTGCTGATGAATCAGGTTCTGAGCGACTTAAATGAATAACGAAGGGGCCTTTATCGCTATCTACATTTTTTTATTGGAATTCAGGGTGGACGAATGTATTTTGATAGGAGGCCGAAGGGTGATCTTCGTGCCCTATTTTTTTATTTGGGAAGCTGGGTAAAGGATCCGTAAGTTTACGTTTGATAGAGCTAGAATCACCGCATAAATCCAGTGGTTCAGCGTCTCCCCCGTCAACATCCATCGTCGTCACAAAGATCTACATCAACTATCTAAACAAATAATACTCACCAACTAACAAACAGAACACACACAGACAACACAAAGAAAATTGAGAAAGTTTACGCAATTGTAAATCGAAAAAGAATTAAAAACTTATTTCAGAACAAAAACAACGTGTAACCACCAATCGCTCTGACAGCAGAATCTTTTATAAGTTTTATTGCTGTTAAAAATTTAAAGGCGCTTTCATTTTTTTTCTTTAACCCTTAATAGATAAAGGACAAATGTACCATACAGCCTAAATCGATTTTATACTTTGTTGGTGTAATCGATTTATTTTTTTCATCAAAACTAAATGAAACGCTCATGAGGCGTGCACATTTGGATTTTCCAAACTACTATACGAGACGAGAATGGCTGCATTCTGAATGATGAAGTTTCGAATTTAAAGAGATGGAAGGAATACTTTGAAAGCGTGTTTAAGAGTGAAGAGTCGTCTGAAGTTAGTGAAATAGAAATTCCGGAAGAAGTAGAGAGAGGTAGGGAGATAAGTTTAGATGAAATAATGAAAGCAATGAAAAGCATGAAAGCAGGTAAGGCAGCCGGATATGATAGAATATCACTCGAAATGCTAAGGGCTGGAGAGGGTGTGGTTGCAGGCCTGCTGTGCACCTTGTTTAATTTTTGTTGGGAACTGAAGCGGGTACCGGAAGACTGGTGCAAAGCCGTTATAGTCCCAATATATAAGGGAAAGGGCTCGCAGCAGGACTGTAAAAGCTACCGTGGTATCAGCTTGCTTAGTATTGTGGGTAAACTGTATGCTAAGGTGTTAATTGAAAGAGTTATGGAAGAAACTGATGGAAATATTTGAGATGTGCAAGCTGGATTTAGAAAGGGGATGGGGTGTACGGATCAAATTTTTTCCATGCACACGATAGCGGAGAAGTTTTTGGCCAAAAACCAGAAAGTTTTTTGTGCGTTCATGGACTTTGAAAAGGCTTATGACAGAGTGGACAGGAATGTGTTATGGCAAACACTGAACTCATTTGAGTTAAGCGCTGGATTGATACAGGCATTAAGGTCTCTTTGTAGGGACTGTAGTGCCGAGAAGACCCCGTTGGTCCTGATCAACGGGGTCTTCACGGACTGGTTTGGCATTCAAAAAGGTATCAGACAGGGCTGTGTAGCTTCGCCGTGGCTATTTAACCTATTTATGGACTGTTGTTTGCAAACTTTGAGATTTGAAGAATATGGGTTGAGAATGTGTGAGTTAACCGTCAAATGCCTTTTGTACGCTGATGATTAAGTCATCTTTGCATCATATAAAAGCTTTAAAAAAAATTTACTTCGCAAATATCCGCGTTATAAAATAAAATGATGTGATTTACCTAGTATGAAGAGCACCTCCCGCCCTCCCTCAATTGCGTGCACTATCCCCGTCACCAATAATCCCAGCACCGCTACTCCCAATACCACTACACTAGGCAAGACACACCACTGACGATAATACGACACGTGTTTCGCCTCTACACGAGGCATCCTCAGGTGATATAGACTACGGTGGCTAACCGCTAAGTGCCTTAACTTTACCTTAACTTACGCAGCCGTTTGTAAAATTAAAAACAAAGTCTGGCGGTGATTGGTCGCATGTTTTATCGCATGACGCAGTCGCTCGCTCCTTAAGTAGAGAGCGGTTGCGTCATCGGTCTGTATAAAAGGCACTTGTTTTGGCTCGCCGCTAACTAATCTATGTGCCATGAAAAGTATCTTTAAAATTAGGAATATAAGAGATTATTTTGCAATAACCGGCTAAATTTGCAGAGAAGGTTCAGAATAATTAATATAGGCAAATGGTGAAGAAAAGTTAATTAAAAAAAATCTCAAACATTCCGTCTTTTTTATCTTTTAAATTCAAAATTCGTGCTAATGTATTACTTGAACTGATTTTACTGCGCATGCACACATTCTTAAGGGTCGATAAGTAGGCAAAAACGTTGTTGTCTTATAAATCACATTCAATTTGGGATAATTTCAAATAAAAGTTTGAAAATACGAGTAAATAAGGCTTCTATTATTTACTCGTATTTTCAAACTTTTTGTCCACGTGGTAGAGCCATGCTGCAGCTATATTAATAGTATAGTTGTAACACGAATAGTTCGGCTCGACCGGGGAAGGACCACGCTCTCACAGAATACTAGCGTAAAATAGCAGCTTAATGCTGCTGTGTTTCGTATGGTGAGTGTAGAGAACCGGAGACCCATTTTACTGGAAAAGAGGCATTCCATCTTTGTCCTCACGGGTGACAACGCATCTGCATTTTGATTCGTAATCGAGGATAAATGTAGATGTCTATGGGCCACAGCAACCACTTACTATCAGGTGGACTGTGTGCTCGTTTGTCACCCTTATCCTATAAAAATAATAATTATAGGTACAATTAGAATTTTACTAATTTTAAATTACATTAAAGAATATCATACCACAAATTATTGATGTCATAATCAATTTGCTTCGGGCGCCGATTCTCAAGTTTCATGTTTTAGTCACAGTTATAATATAGAGTCAATTGAAATCCTGTAAATTAATAAATATTTGACAATTATCTGTTGTCAGCGACTTTCATTGTTGTTAACAGATATAGGTAGAAGAAAACATCGATTAGTATTATTGATAAGGAATTCGACAAACCTATTGATTTTATTATTTATCAAAAATAGGAAATTTAAAGCTAAACATGTTAGTAATACATTTAATAAGATAAGTGACAGATTTTTAAGAGCTAATATTATCAAATAGTTTTCATTTTTTTATTAAAAATTGTAAATCCTCTTACCTTTTGAATGTTACCACACTTACCTTCTGGTAACGAAGTTTACATTATCATTGTTACTGAAAATATTTTTATTATATTATAAATATGAAACAGAACTGAAACACACAACACATACTCTTTTCACACGCACGCACGCACGCACACACGCACGCACGCTCGCACGCACTCACGCTTGCACGCACCCACGCACGCACGCACGCACGCACCCAAGCACGTACGCACGCACACATGCACACACACACACACACACACACACACACACACACACACACACACACACATTAAAATCTTAGACTTTTGAGCAAAACAACGGCCATTTGCAAATTATGTTAAATTTAGTTCCTGGTACGCTCAATAACAGTGTTTCAAATGGGCATAAACGTTTGTAGGTATAGCCAGCGTGCTACTATAAATGGTGTATTTGATGTAAAATTAAATAATACCCACTTATATACAATTTTCTTTTTCATTTATTTAAAACTTATCTATTTATCACGTGTAGTGTAGCCCCTACGACAATGTAATGTCGGAAAGGCGTTAATTAGAAGATGTTTTGACTACTTTTATTCTAAAATTAACTCTTTATATTATATTGTCGTGGGGGCTACACTGTGTTAATTTATATTTTTTTTTTTTTTAGAATTTAATTCCCAGCCACCCAATAAATGAATAGTACTCGGTAGTTTACCTACGGCGCGCTTGCGTTATTCGCATTGTCTCAATTTAATTTTGGCAGGTGGTAACGTATTCATGCCGTCAATTGCAATTTTACCCCCGAAACATTTTTTTTCCATTTTTTGCAAATTATTCACAATCGCGAAATCAGAAATGAAATCAATGTCAAATCTGTGCTAGGTGTTATAAAAGTCCTATTAAAGCCCATTCTTTATAGAATATATACAGCACTTTTTGTTTGATTGTATTTAATGTAATTTAATTTTGACATTACTATTATTTGATTATTATTTTATTTTTATTTTTGATTTTATTGTAATTTAATTTTGGGTATAGATTTGATTTTAGTTTTGATTTAATTTAATTAAATTTATTTAATGTTCTCAATTACTAACCTAATATAAGTCATACTAACAACTTATGGATCTTTGATATCTGAAATAAAGAATTATAATAATAAAATAATATAATACTTATCGCAACATTCGCCATGTGCAAGACCCTGCTCAATATTTCTTGCCTTTTATCGCGCAATGGGTCATTCAACCTTTTGATTATTTCACTGTAAGTAGTATTCTTCCGTGGAAACTGGAAATACATTTTTTGTAATCAATGAAAAGGATACCTTTCAAATCCCAAACTCTTTTCTTGTGTATTAAAAACTAGCGATCCGCCCCGGCTTTGCACGGTTGATTTCTGAATCTCGACGACAACGCCACCTACCGGGTCCAATTGTGAATTCAAACCATTCTCTAATCAACTTCGATTAAGTTTCATCAAAATCGGTCCAGCCGTTTAGGAAGAGTTCAGTCACGTACACACAGACAGAAGAATTTTATATTATATAATATGCATGTATTATACATATAAACCTTGCTCTTGAATAAATCGACTTTGTTACTTACTAGCGACTTTGTTTTATACTATGTTGAGATATAGAGATAATATTGATCACAACCATTAATTTGATTTAAGCTGCATCTGTATAGATAACTATATAACAAATTGTTAAATTAACAGTGTTTGTTTTTATTTAAATTTTGTTTGACTTTTCAGATAAGAATTCTTAATGCTGCGCCAGCTCGGAAAGATATAGACAGCATCTTACCATATTGCTCTATTTTATGTATTAATGAATCGGAAGCTTCCTTGCTTGCTGATTTTGCAGTTGACGTATCGTAAGTTCAGCCCATAGTGAATATTTTGTATGTGATTTTTATTTATGTGCCTACATTACCATTTATCTTTTATAGGAATGCTCCATTAGCAATAAATAAGTTATTAGAAACTGGATGTGAAACAGTCATTATAACCTTAGGAGAAAAGGGAGCAATTTTTTCTTCAAAACACGATAAAAAATATTTTCAAGTTTTTTGTGAAAGTGTTATTCCGGTCGATACCACCGTAAGTATTTTAATCTTATTGAAGTACCTGTCAAGCGTAAACAACATCAATAAGTATTATGTATTATTACTCGTATTATAGTACAAACAAGCGATCGTGGTAAAACTTTTCAGTCATGATAAATTATGCTTAATCTACATATTTCCAAGTGTACGTAATCTCCGAATCTGAATCCGAATTCTTTTTCTTTCCAGAAAATGTAAAACAATGCCTTTCTGCTATAACAGCAGAAATCGAGTGAATAAATAACATTTTATTTTAATGTAAAATTTATTTAAACTTAGAATTCCAAGTACGCTGCATCAAGATAACATCTGAACTGAGTCTCAGTCCAGAAGAGTAAATGCGGCTTGTCAGTCTCAATGTGGTAGTGGACTGTGTTGAGATTAAGGTAAGTGCACCTCACAAACATCTAAGTGCAGGTCTCGGATGTTTGTAAGGTGCACTTTGATAGGGAGCGAATGCAACCGCTATAAAAAGAAATGGTGGAGTGAATAGGGTGAGAGAATGGCAGTTAGACAATACGTCACGCACATAACCTAGGGATGCAAACAACGTTACAACGTTGGTGGAAACCGCGGGGACGCTCGAACCAGTTCCACAAACGAGAAGGTTCTATATTCGTCGCGTATGTTTTACATAGAACAACATGAACCACCGGCGGACAGCAGGGGAAGTAGCCATACGCGGTTGTTCGCCTCTGTTAAATTATAAGTCCACACGGTCCTATGCGTTGTTACTTACTGCTAAAGTACGTATCGAGCTGTGTATCGTCGAGAGTAAACTCCGCGTATTTTAATAGATTAAAACTACTAAAATCATAGTTTTACCTTAAATAAATACTAAATTATACATAAAACAGTGCAATAATCAATAGCTTATGCTATCTAGACGAAATTATTATAAAAAAGCTTAAAAACTTGACAATAAGTTAAGAGGTAGTAAAAAAGAGTAAAATTTTCATAATAGGAGGACAACAATGCGTGGGTCTGGCGTCAAGACTGATTTATTCTTGAACAAACATGAAATTTAAAGATTTTGACATTTTCTCTTGGACAAAACCTTATGCCAAAACAGAAGAAATCCTTAAAGACTGTTATAACATTGAAGATTCTAACAATAACTATTTTATTTTGTGTGTTGGGGAAAATGACACGAACGTTACAAAGATATTCTTTGAAACAGCTGCAGTAATAAAAATACTAAAATACTCTAACTTTATTATACTTAATACTAATTACAATAAATATTTAAATAAATATAAACTAAATAATATGTTAAAAAACTTGTGCAATAACATGCCAAATTGTAATTTTATTGAATGCACAAACAGGTCTAGGACGGAATATCACGCATATATTTGTGCAAAGATTAATCTAATGTTAGACTCTAAATATTACGAAAACCATTTTATTAAAAATATTAAAACTATTATTAAAAATCGCAGTAATGTATCTGATAAGATGCACATTATGGGAAAATCCCAAGGAATAATTACGCTATCTTACGAAAGTAAAACTGCTGAACCTAAAATTGGCACCATACCTTATTATTTCAAAAAGGTGAATAAATTAAATAAGACATTAACTGTTGAAAATAGCAGAAGCCTAAATATGTCCACGACTCAATTTTTTCGCACACAATAACAACCAAAAACATGAAATTACTTCCATACTACATCAAAACATAGCAGGTTTGTTTAACAAAACTGATTCGATAGAACTATGTATTGATGAACTAATAAATGAGGGGCAATCAATAAGCTTTTTATGTTTTAGTGAAACATTTGTTAAAAAGGGAGGTGAGAGTAACATTAAGTTTAAACATTTTAAATTAGCTTCACTATATTGTAGAATAAAAGAAAAACGTGGGGGAGTATGTATCCTTATTAGAAAGTCAATAGAATTTATATTAGATATAATAGACTTAGAAGTTATACAATTGTGCTATGAATTATCTGCAGACAAAGTTTTCGAGTGTTGCGGTATAGAGGTACCAAGTTACAACTGTATAATTTTTTGTGTATATAGAACTCCCAATTCGCCTATCAATATTTTTCAACAAATTAGATCTTATTTTTCATAAACTAGCATTTAAGCTAAACAAAAAGAAAGTCATTTTATGTGGTGACTTTAATATTAACACGCTTAAAAATAATAACGTCACTGATGACTTAAAAATTTATCAAACACGTTGTTGTACAAATGTGAAAAACTAGGAATCAGAGGACCGGCTTTGGAATGGATCGAAAGCTATTTGACAAATCGGCAACAATGTGTTGAAGTACCACGTATTAATAATAATCTAGAGTTAACATATTACAGATCTCCTTATCTACATAATGACTATGGGGTACCTCAAGGGAGTGTTTTAGGGCCTTTATTGTTCATTCTATATATAAATGACTTACCGAGTATAACAAAGCATCAGTCCGTACTATTTGCTGATGACATACCAATTATTATACCCCACACTAATAATTCACAGATATATGAACAAGAGATAAATTCCACTATAAAATCAGTTATATCATGGCTAGAAGATAATAATTTACAAGTCAATACTAAAAAAAACTAAATATATTCAATTTGGAAATTATAAAACAAAACTACAAAAATTAGACTTAACATATAAGGGCGAAAGATTGGTAGAGGTAGAAGATACACAATTCCTAGGTGTTGCTATTGACCAGCATGTAAAATGGAAATTACACGTTAATAAGGTATGCAAAAAAATTAATCAATTTGTTTATACACTACGTAGACTTCAAAATGTAGCAGGTCCACAAGCAGCACGTGTTGCTTACTACGGGTACGTTGAATCCGTCTTAAGATATGGATTAATCTTGTGGGGCAACTCAACAGACGCAAACAGAGCCTTTCTAAGCCAGAAGAAATGTATTCGTGCACTGTGTAACGTAGGCCCTCTACAGAGCTGTAGACCCCTGTTTAAGGAAAAAAATAATCTTACTTTAACTGGGTTATATATATTAGAAATCTGCGTTTTCGTAAAAAATAATACAAATCAATTTGTTACCGTGCAGGAAAATAATAAATTTGCAAAAAGAGATCCGACACGTCTACTGATGCCACCTTGTAGAACTGCATTATTCCATAGGAATTGTATCAAGATATATAATAAAGTTCCTTAAAATATTCGTGAACAGCCATTAACGCGAATGAAAAAAAGTTTAAAGCAGTGGCTAATAAATACTGCCTTTTATAACATCAAAGAATTCTTTAACTATTAATTTTGATTTTGCTTTTAATTTTTTTTTGTTGATTTTGTTTAGCTAAGTAAGTTACTATAGATCCAGGATTTTGCGTGATACTTCTCAATTGAATTAAAGGTTATTTTTCTAATTTTGTTATGTTCTTCTAAAACAAATGTAATCATTACAAAGTGGTAGTTACATACTGGAATATTATGTGTTAATTTCTAATTTTAGTTCATTTGTTCTGAACACATTTATTTTAAAAATTTTTTTTGTATGCCACGAATGGCAAAATGTGTGGAAACAAATATTGACTCTGTATCCACCCGTTTGTACCCATGTTTTTAGTGAAATAAATAATTTGATTTGATTTGATTTGATTTGCGTACAATCAAACTAGTTGCCAGCCGCACTACTCACTAGACTAAATCTAGTTGCGTATCTGTATCGATGTCCTACAAAAATGCCGAATTGTTCAGTTTTGTGCTGCAAAAACAGATCCGTCATGTCAGGTCCCATGTTATGATACATTTTAAGAAGAAATCGGTTTTAATTGTTATTTAAATTTTAATTATATATTAACAACAAACAAACAAGAAACTAAAATAATATAGTTTGCATTTATTGTCACCAATGCGCCACCATAGTTATACATTTATACATAGCCCACTTTGCATCATTACTCGAAATTTTCGGTAGAAACTAGGTTCCGCGCCCGTACTAGTTCTGTCTAACCCGACCACAGTGATAATTTATTTAGGTTACAAAGGTGAAATATGAATATTATGAAAAAGCCCGATATGAAGCCAAGAGTGCAAGTGAGACGATTGTGTATGCTTCGATTAGTCGTGAGTTGCGTTTGCTTGTCATAGGCGCGTTTTTAAACTTTATGACGTTTATAGTATATCTATTAAAGTATTACAGAATATAAATAAGAATAAGCGCGCGAAAATTTAAATACTTTTACTATTCCGTAAATACCTTTCGTTCGGTGTCGTGAACTTAATAGGGCATGTCCGGCTTTTTGGCGTGTATGGAGGGGAGGTATCGCAACTGAAATTAACAGTATAGTTACATTAAAAAATTCTTCCCCTATTTTCTCACCCACCATCCATGACTGACTATCACCATCTATGAAATATAACCTATTAAAAAAATAATCATTATAGTCGGTAACATACATACAAAAAATAAACAGTTAATCAATAAAAAACAGTTGAGTTGAGAATTTCTTTTTTTTTTAAATCGGCTAAAAATCTAAATAGTTTGGAAAATCCAAAAGTGCACGGCTCATGAGCGTTTCATTTAATTTTGATGAAAAAATAACTTGTATTCCTGACTTTTAAAATATATTATTTACGTGTATTAAATTTAGCGCTCTATTATTTTAACAGGTAGTGTAACTAACTACAGGGAGACAAATAATAATGTTTAAAAAAATAAGTCGATTACACAAAGTATAGTAATCGATATAGGCTGTATGGTACATTTGTCCTTTGTCTATCAAATGCAAAAAAAAATTTTGACTTTTTTTGGATATACAATTTTTCTAACGTTAATAGTAATAGTTAGCAGAAGATAGCAGCTATTTAATAATTTTTTTAAAAAAATTATAAAAAAAATAACGGCTACAGTACTACAGTAAATACCTTCATAAATTCAGATACATAAATTATATTAAGAGTAAACGTTAAGCCATCCTACAATAATTGCTTAAATTATACATAAGTAAAGTAATACATAGGTATTTGCTATGTTAGGCAAGTCGATTAATAATCACGGAACGAAACCTCTAATAAAGTTTTTCCAAAAAAATCATGTATACAGAAAAAAGGTGCATTTATTAATCATAATTATATGTTACTAAAATAACCTGTCTTTTTATAAATTACAGGGAGCAGGCGATGCATTTGTCGGTGCTTTAGCAACTTATTTAGTCAGTCACAAAAACTATCCAATGCATCAAATTGTTGGTGCAGCTTGCCAAGTTGCCACTATATCAGTAACAAAAGAAGGAACCCAAAATAGTTATCCTACAAATTTTGACGCTTTTAATAAGCAATACAGATATGTAGAATTAGAATAAATTTAATACCTTACCAAAATCGTTGTTTTTTTTTTATAATATTCCCAGTGTATGGAGTACTGCTGTCATATTCGGGATGGCGCTGCTCACTACCAACTGGCTGCCTTGGATTCAGTTAAAAGCAAATGATGAGATTTATAAGTTATTATTCATTCTTTGAAGCTAAGCTGCACAGGGGTTTGACGGGAAATTCACACCGGCGGATTCCTGCGCTTGTTTTATCGTTTCTATAATGGTTTGAAGTGGACTTAATTGCGTAAAAATCATGCGATTTTGTGAATGTGAACAAATTTGCGCATGTATATATTAGTAAAAACGACGAAAGAAGTCCTCCGATGTTAATATAAAATAGCGATTGAGGCTGATTAATGTTATCTGACCGAATTTCGGTCACGGTGGCAACTCTCAACGAAAACTTGTGATATACGGAGAACAAGATAGATTCAAGTGACCAGTGTATAAGCAAGCACGGGTGCACTCTCTATATTCCGACTTCTTGACTCCAGGCTGTTACGGCCAATGTCTTAATAGAAAAACCCAACAACCGATTTTGGCCCCATCTGGAATTTGAACCCTGGGCTCCATGATCAGCAGTCGTGCTTTTACAAGTACTCCAACGAGGCAGTCAATAGATGAGGCTGATGTATACGCATTAAGTAGTTTTGACGTGGTAGAGCCACGCTGCAGCTGTAATTTGACACAGACATTGATTGGTTTCAACCAAATCAATTTCATTTTAACAGTGGTAGAGCCACGCGGCGGCTTTTGCTGTCGCACGGATGGGCCGGCTCGAACCGGGGTGGTACCACGACCTCACAGAATACCAACGTGAAGTAGAGGTTTACCTCTGCGTTTCGCTTGGTGAGTGCAGGTGGCCGGAGGCCCTTTTTACTGGAAATGAGGCATTCCATCTTAGTCCTCACGGGTGACAACGCATCTGCATTTTGATTCGCAAGCGAGGATGGATGCGGATGTCTATGGGCCGCAGCAGCCACTTACCATCAGGTGGACTGTGTGCTCGTTTGTCACCCTTATCTTATAAAAAAAAAAATCAAGGTCGCCAATAAGTCTCTTAGCACGTCTCTCCACTGAGTCCAACACTACCAGATGGCATTTTGCAGCACAGCCCATATGTGACAGCAGTACTCCATCCACGACCGGACTTGCGCTTTATATGAGGTAAGAAGCTGCCCCGGCGTAAAGTACCGCCGCACCCTTGCAAGGAAACCAAGTTTCGTTGCGGCTGCTTTGTCTCTGGACTCAATGAATCGCCCGTAGTTGAGGTTCAGAGAAAATTTAACCCCTAACAACTTAAGTGGTCAGTGTGCAAGGATACATTCCGGAAAGTAGGAGTCAAGACGAGCAGGCTTCTTTTAGCGGTGAAAAGACACCGCTAAACGCATCTGCAATTCCCTCCCTGGTGTTGCAGTTGTTCATGGGCGGCGGTAGTCACTTACCTTCAGGTGAGCCGCATGCTCGCTTGCCCCCTCTCCTATAAAAAAAATATTCTGGGAATTATAGGGTCCATGACCAGCATAACCGTATCATAAGGTATGAACGGTATTTTATGTTCTTTACCAGTGTCTAAAAATTAAGTGTTAATTAGGTTCTAATTAGGTGCCAAGTCTAAAAATTAGGTGTTTTAAAATGTTCACCGCAACGAACTGTTGAAATTTGCGTTGCTGATAAAACCTATCGCTAGCAACGTAATGATGTTTTAGATATACGATAAATATTAATAGCAAGGAATTAGCTGCTAATGAGGCGATGCAAGTATACGCAATGACAAGGCGCCCTTAATAAAAATAAAGTCGTTATTCAGAACATAGCAGATGCAAAATTCAGGTTTTCTGAAAATCAGAAAAGAATCAAAAATGCTTTTAGGAAAAGCCCAAATTAGGGGCTTTTTAGGTGCTAATTAAATACCAAGTTTAGAAATTAGGTGCTCTAAAATTTTGCACCACCTAATTAGCACTTAATTCCTTGCTATTAATATTTATCGTATATATAATAACTTCATTGCGTTGCTACCGAAACGTTTTGCTAGCAACACAAATTTCAACAGTTCGTTGCGGTGAAAATTTTAGAGCACCTAATTTTTAAACTTGGCACCTAATTAGCACCTAAAAAGCCCCTAATTTTGGATTTTTCCAAATGCAAATTCCCGACTTTGCGTTGCTGGCGATACACAACTAATTTAAAATGCACTGGTAATAAAACAGAAGAAATAAAAATAATTGTGTGAGAATGTGTGCCCTATGGCAGTAACTCCGCCATATGTACTACTTTGTGCATGAAAGTGTAAATAAATAAATATTTAAGTTAAATTAAGCTTAATGTTTTGTTTAAATATGTTCTTAGAGCCAATGAAGGGATCAGCTCCTCTAAATATTGTATTATAAGTTCTTAATATTCTAGTAAAAACCACATTTTGATATTAGTTCCTTGGGTAAAACGGAACATGGAATAAAGAAGTATGTCTAATGCGGCGCGAAGGAACACGCAACGACACTTGTTCAAACAACTCAGCACAGTTTAGTCGTCCGCGCAACATATCGTACAGCAGACCCATGTACATCAGATCACGACAGGGGCGGATTTGAACTTTATGGGGCCCGGGGCTAAAATTGAGAAGGGGCCCACTTAAGGACAGCGAAAAAGGCTATTTATCAAATATTAAAAAAATTCATTTATTAATTTATTATAAATTATTTATTATAAACTATTATTTATAGATACAATGAAGTACAAACAATTATTTTAAAATTCGATTAGAAATTTTTTTTCTTGATTTTGCTCTAGCAAAATCATGAATTAAGTCATCGAAGTCAATTGATCTCAATAAGTCGACTTCGATGCTTAATCTTGTTAAACATGATAGTCTGTCATCTGACATCGTTGATCGATACATGTTTTTTATTATTTTCAAAACTGAAAATGATCTTTCTGATTCGCAATTTGCGATTGGAAGTGTAGGTAGTATTCTGTAAGCAATATAGGTATACGGAAAAACTTGTATCATGTCTAAATCTACAAGCCAATTTAAAACTTGTAAGGGACACAAGATTTCATCATTTGCACTTGTGTTTTCTCCTGTACGATTGGAAAAAAAGCCCTTAGGCTGCTGTTTTAAGCATGGTATAAATTGTTTCAATTCAACTGATAATTTTTTTTCTAAATCGTCAGAGTAAACCTTTACGAGATTTGATACTTTTTTTTCTAATACATCTGTCTCTATAAATAATAATTGTGTGAGAAAGCCAAATAGTTGAATGATGCGATCATATGCTTCACTCCGTTTCTGCAACTCTGCAACTAATTTGTCTATAATCACATAAAATGTGTTTACTCGGAATTTATCAGCCGGGCTTATGCTACTAGCTTGTGATTCTTTGTCGGTTAGCATTCTTGTGACCTTTCGTTTGTTTGCATCAGAATATTCTTGATCCACAAAATTACTTAGTTATTTGGCTTGATTGTCAATGTCAGAAAACGTATCTCGCAAATCTGCCACAAAATCCACTAATAAAAGTAGCATGTTATTTGCAGAAATTAAATCTGTATCAACTTTTTGAAGGTATTGTCTAGTCGCATTAAAGCGGCTTAAAACATTATTCCATAGAATCGCCATAAAAACATTTTCAAGTTTTTTATATGTTTCAATAAAGCTTCAGCTTTTTTCCGAGTTTCGCGTTTTTATTCTTCGTCATTCGTTAAAAATTCTACAGCCCTACAAATACCTCCATGACTGTTTACTACAACTTTTGTGGCGTCTCCGCGACATGACCATCTCGTTTTCGATAAGTTCGTTATTTTAGAATTATCAGTGATTAAGATGTCTCACCGATGTGTTGAAACACTAAAAAATTCATATAGCCGCTGTAAAATTCCGAAGAAATTTGTAGCATCAAGACATACGTCAACACTACATTCTCCCACTAAGTTTAGAAAATGGCCAGCGCAAGGCACGAAAAACGCTAATTCATTTTTTTCTCTAATACAAGCTTGAAGTCCAATATATTTACCGGACATATTGGATGCGTTGTCATAGGTCTGAGCTCTGCAATTTTTAATGTCGATACCGTGCTCCTGTAGTAAATCTAATACGTCATTACTAAGCGACCTACCTTTATGGCTTTTATTTGTAAAAAGCAGAAAAAACGTTCATAAACATGACCATCTAAGTAGTATCGGAAAATGACTGACAACTGATCGATGTGAGATATATCTGGGGTAGAATCTACGACGAGTGAAAACAAGTGAAAAAAAAATAATAAATAGTATAACAGATTTAATTTGACTCTTTTTGTTTTCTTTAGAATTGTTGTTAAATAATCTTTCATATAAATTTATTTAAATTATGTAAGTAAAAAAGAAAATCACAACCTTTGGCATGAATGAATAACTCAAATTATTGCGCGATAAACATTAACATTCTCTGGTAGAAATTTCCCCAACCGTTCGCCACCGTGACCAACTGCTGCAGCATTAGCCGCAGTTTTTCCCAACCCATTCGCTAATAATACCACTTATTTCGTTATTTCATCACAGATTTACTTACACCCGTCGTTGGCCAACAAATGGTTAACCGATGGCAAATTAAAAATCGTAGGTAATTTTGGTTAACTTATTTTCTTTGGAAAACATTTTACTTTTAAGTAGTGTAGTTGTACCACTTCTAGACCACCTGAGTCAGACGTGGTTCAACGACGTTCGTCGACGCCCGATCCTAAAAAAAAAAAAAAAAAAAAAATGCTCTGATCACGAATCCGCGGTCCATTTTTGTGTAGAATGCACGGTTCCGGAGATGTGTAGATCAATTAGCTAATATCTAATTGATATCCGGTAAGGGCCTCCACCGTCATTAGCGTCCCATTGTTGTTCCTATTTCTATTGTTCTATTGTTCATTAATCACCTTCATTGCAGCGTGTGCGTCGACTATATCAGTGCTATTGTGTTATAGTTCTTTGTTCCTAATTATACAACGCTAATCTGAATCATCAATAAAACACA